TGGGGAACCCGGGATTGGGGAACCCGGGATTGGGGAATTGGGATTGGGGAATCGGGATTGGGGAACCCGGGATTGGGGGAACCCGGGATTGGGGAATCGGGATTGGGGAACCGGGATTGGGGAAACCCGGGATTGGGGAACCGGGATTGGGGAACCCGGGATTGGGGAACCCGGGATTGGGGAATTGGGATTGGGGAATCGGGATTGGGGAACCGGGATTGAGGGAACCCGGGATTGGGGAATCGGGATTGGGGAACCGGGATTGAGGGAACCCGGGATTGGGGAATTGGGATTGGGGAATCGGGATTGGGGAACCCGGGATTGGGGAATTGGGATTGGGGAATCGGGATTGGGGAACCCGGGATTGGGGAATCGGGATTGGGGAATCGGGATTGGGGGAACCCGGGATTGGGGAACCGGGATTGGGAAACCGGGATTGGGAAACCGGGACTGGGAGACATCCAGGTGTGCGGGGCATCCAGGTGTCATCCAGGAAGCGGGGGCATCTAGATGTGAGCTGGGCATGCAGGTGAGAGGGGCACGTAGATGGGGAGGGGGGGGCACCCAGATGGGTGGGACATCCAAGAAGAGGCAGCACCCAAGATTTGGGGGCATCCAGGTGGGTGGGCATGGGGAGGGAGGGGGGGCCATACAAGTGTCCTTCAGGAAGGGGGCCATCCAGGAAGGGGGGGCACCTACTGTTTGGGGCCATCCAGATGGATGAACATCAATTTTACAGGGAGTATCCAGGTATGAGGGGTGCCCAGGTATAGGTTTGGGGGTGGGAGGTGTGTGCACCCCACTGTCGGTGGGGCAGGGGATGGCCATGGGGACATCTGGCATGTCCTCAGGGATCTCTGAAGGGATTGACCTCATGTGGTGCCCTACAGCCACGTGCTGTGAATCCCTTTGTGGGAACCTGTTCTGGTGAGGGGTTTATGTCCCATGGACTGATGGGATCCTCACCCTCAGCTGCTCAGTTTGGCAGGGGCCAAACACAGCCCCCTCCGTGCCCTCTCCCACCTCCCAAACAGCCCAGCTCCCATGGCTGCTGTCGAAGCACAGGGAGAGCACAGACACAGGAAAACAAAATAGCAGAGACAGCAAACCCAAAAGCAAATGTCCTGCTGCAGCCAYTGCCACTCCTGGCCACCACCAACACCATTCCTGGGAGCTGGGGCTTGTGGGGTAAAGCCTGTGGAGAAACACCYACCCCAGGGCACAGCCTGAGTGGAGCAGGAGAAACAGAGAGGGATTCCCAAGGAGGAGAGAAAAGCCTAATTTCTGACCACCACTTCAAAGCAGTRGAAGTGGACAGAAGGATGGGCAGGAATCTCCTCGATTTTATTTCTCTTTTCTCAGTCCTGCCCCTCCACAGGGCCATCCAGAGCCCTGTTTATGGCTCATTCAAGGGATTTCTCTCGTCGATGGTGGGAACCAACAGAGCCCAGACTGGTGGGGATGATGGCATGAGGGAGGAGGCAGAGTGAGAGGGGTGATCCTGGCAGAGGCTCCTGGCAAGCAGGGGCTTACTGCACTGTGGGGACTTTGTCATGGCTGTGCATTCAGCTGGGAAAGGGGAAAGGAGAAAGGAATGGAATTCAAGGGCGTGACTGCTCTGGTGTGAGCAGGGAAGGAGTGGCCACAATGACCTGTCATTCCCAGGCCCAGCTTGGGCTCCTGCTTGGACTGTGCTGTGCTGCAGAGGATTGTCCCTGCTATCCTGCCCCCTCACACTGAACACACCACACAGGCAGSCTCATGGGAAACCTCCCTGCACCACAGGAACACCCAGAGCTGGAGTAGCATCACCTCAACCATTTCCCAGGCCTCAGGTGGGATTCACTGGATCCTCCTTGCACAAGCTTCGTGGTTTGGCTTTGGCAGAACAGTTAGAGCCAGACAATAAAATATCATTGTGTGAGAGCAGAGGTCGGGGAGCCACCCAGCCAGGCTCTGGGATGGGGATCAACAGCCTGCCTGGATCAGCTGAGCCTCCAGCCCCATCCCTGTGCCGGTGACAGCCACACTGTACTCAGCAGCAAGTCACGCTAGAGGGAAGAGCTGTATTTTCATCCCAACATCTTTATTCTGGTGTAATCAAATCCATTTAAGTTCTGATTAAGAGGCTGAATTAACCAACAAAACCTGTCAGTAGAACAAAGCTCCTCATCCCTAAAATCTCCCACACAAGTACAGGTATGTGCAGCATCCCTCATCCCAGCTGCCACTGGCTCTGCTGGCATTGTCACCATCCTGCTGGCATTGCCTTTGCTCTGCCCAGCACTCCTGCCTGCAGCACTGGAGCTGTGATGAGCCTGGAGCAGCTCTTGTTGCTGAGCCAGGGCTTGTTCCTGGACTGGTGCACAGGGCCAGTCTGTGTTTCCCATCACCAGGCTGTGTTTCACATCAGGGCCGCAGGGGRAAGGAAGTCACCTTCAGCTGGGGTKAGTGGTGACATTTCAAATGAACCCTGTGTTGCTGCTGCGGGAGCACTTTGAACGCCTGGTGCTTCACGTGAGGGAAGCAGAAAATGTGCAGTGGGTTTTAACTCCTCGTCAAACTTCACTCACAAACACTCACACACATTTCTAATGAAACTCTCAATGAGTCAGTGCTCTTTTATCATACTTTACTTCAAACCAGAAAACACGGTGAGGAGGATTGATTACAAGAGGTGTGAGGTTCTCACGAACTTCCCTCGTGCCAGATATTAATTAACACAGGGGATGGGAGAGGAGCTGCAGCCTCTCCCTGCCCCGAGCGGGGCCTGGGTTCTGCTGCTTCCACCAAACACCTCCCCAGCTCCCAGCCCCAGACCTGCCTGGGAATGCTGGGAGGGTGTTCTGTCACCTGCAGCGCTCATCAGGGCAGGAAACCTCCTCTTATKTAGCTTGCTGAGATGGTACATGGGGAGTTTGAGCATTCCTGGTTTGAGACCCAGGCATGGATAAAGACTGGGGCCAAAGGCAACAGAGTCTTGCAGCAACTCCTAATGCAAAATGAGCCAGAGGCAAAGGTGGTGGGCACTCTGTTCCTACCCTGGAAGGCAGATCAGCTGCCCATGTGAGGCTTGGATTGCTCTGAACATGTTTACCCTGCACCCAGCAGCTCCCAATCCAGCTGGAAAGCCCTGTGGCYTCCTGTCACGTGGAGGGTCAGCTGAGATCCTGACCCATCCCCTGTGTGTGCACAGCACATTCACCCCACAGAGCCCCAGGGCTCCACACTCAGCCTGTTCCCTGATCCTGCAGGCCCAGACACTGCCAGGTTTGGGGTTCTGCTGGCCAGCCCCCACAGCTCCTGTGAGCTCAGCACAGGCAGGAGAGTGACTGGAGAGAAAGGGTTCTCTGCTACCAGTCCAGAGAAGGACCAAGGAGCAGCCCAGAGATCTGAGTCAATGCACAGGCACCTCCAACCAAGGCTTAAGAGATCCCCAAAAGGCAAAGGGGCTGCTGAACAGTCCCTGAATACGGGCARCAGGAGCAGAGACAACACAGGACTGCAAACGTTCATGCTCTGAGATCTGAGTTACGGTATTGCTGAGCTCTGCACACCACAAGGACAAGGAACATGAACTGAAACACATCAAATCCCGTCTGAGAGCAGGGAATACCTTTTCACCAGTGGGGTGACCAAGCACTGATACAGGTTGTCCAGGGAGGGACATCCTTGGAGATATCCCAAAGCCATCTGGACATGGTCCTGGGCAAMCAGCTTTGGATGGCCCTGCCCGAGCAGGGGCTGGACTGGACAATCCCAACCTCCACCAGTTTCCCGTGATGGTGGAACCAGCAGCTCTAAGCATAAAGGGTAAATCACTGAGGGCTTGAGTTAAGCAAGAAGAAGGTGTAGGAGCAGCAKGAAGATGCAGCACAGGGCAGAAGGAAAGCAATTCGTTCTCTGCAGGATGAAATGCAGAAGATTTCCGTGCCTTAYACTACTGAAAGTCAAAATATGGGTTGTACATTCATGCAAGAGTCTTTGTGTGGGCCTGAACAGGGCACACAGTCCAGCTGCAGCATCAGGGAACACTCCCAAACCCATAACCAGAGCCTTCAGTTCAGTGTGATTACTGAGGTTTCCTTTCAGCATCGTCACATGCTGCCCTAGTTAGGGGAGGAAAGTATTTCTCCAAGGCAGAATTTCTCTAGGATAGAGTTTTTCATGCAGTGAATCACGTTTTCCTTCACAAACCCCCTGCCTAAGTAAAGAGGGGGTTTGTGGCAGTGCAGGGAACAAAAGGTGGGAGAAATAATAATAAGGAAGTGCAGTATTAAAAAAAGTCTGCAAGATTAGAGTCTTTGACTGATGGCAGGCAAAGCCTGTTTGCTGCCTGCTATAAGGGGTGCGTGGTAGGAATAGGAGATCTGGGATCTTTAACTCCTTCTCATCCAAGGGCTGCTATGGATAATGTGAATGTGAGGAGAATCAGAGCCAGAGCCTCACCAGCAGCCTCTTCCCTGAGGAAATGCCAATGCTGGGCCAGTCTGTGCTGCTGTGGAAGACGATGCTGATCCTAAAGTCTAATTASAGAGATGACATAAGGTCAAGTGTTCTTGAGCAGGATGTCTGCTATGTTGTTGTAATGTCTCCACATGGAGTCGGAAAAGGGTGGGGAAAGACTCTTCCACAGCAGGGACTGGAAAGGAAGAGGAGAGATGTGGCAAACATCCAGCAGAAGCAACTCCGATGCTCAGATATCATCATGGGCAAGGAGAACGCCCAGAATGAGGAGCAGAGGTAGCTCAGGCACCAGCTCTGGGCGACACAGGAGAACTGCACTCACAAGGAGCTGCCACTGCCCAGCTGGGCTGCTCAAGGCTCTCTGTTGCAGAAGACTCAGGATCTCAGGTTTGAGGAGGAGCTTTTGCTCAGTTTGGTATTTCCCCACCCCAGAGTCAGTATCAGCTTTTAGTAAATAGACCCAACACTGGAACATCTAATACATCTGGCAGGTTYCCAATAGCAAGGTCAGTCACTGGTTTTCATGGCTCTGTGCTGTCTCTGGAACTTTCAGAGCATTTAATCCCAAAGGACCATGATTAGGACCATCATGAACTGTCTGGTCTCACAGAAAGATTTTAAAATCAAGGATATTACAAACATTACTTTCACGAGACCAAAAATAAAAAAGTTTCTCACAGCAGTCAGCAAACRGAACTGTGCAGGCTTGGGAAGAATCAGGGGGTATCATTAAGGAGCTCCAGTGGAAAGATGAGGGAGGTAATGTGTAAACCTGCTCTGCTCAGTGCCAGGTGAGGATGGGGCTTCAGCTGAAGTGAAAATGTTATTTAGACCATTTATCCACTAAATGCATTGCAGCCTGCAACTATTCCCRCCTGGAGCGCAGAGAATTACTCAGGCAGTGATATTCAAAAAGAAGAAGATGCTGCACAGGAGTTTCAACRTGGATTATCAAAGAAAACCTCTGCAGTTTCTGCAGGCAGGGATGTCCCAGCCAGAGCCTGCAGTGGCAGATGCTGAGGGGGGTTTTTGCCTTACTGGCTTTCACCTTTGTCACCTGGCTCAAGGTGACAGGAYATCAAGTAGTGCCCGTGTAGTCCTGGCTCCCTCACATGTTCCTAAGAAACCTCGAAKGCCTTGGGGATTTGCCCACTAAGGAATGGCCGGACCAAGCACCAGCCTGAAGAGCTTCCTTTTCTCCTGGTCAGSCTGTGACTGGAGAGGCAGTGACTGCACCGTGAGGGGATTTCACCAACAACCCAAATACATCTGGCCAGAGATGTCCTAAAGCAGCAGGGCCATAACCCTTCTCTTTGTCAGCTGCCAGCATGTAGATGAGACACGGGGCTGGGGTAAGAAACTCTCATCCTGTCCCTAGGAATGTTGACTGAAGGCTCCTAAAGCCCCAGGGCACCCTGCCTTGGCTCCAGCAACTCCCTCTGGAACACAGAGGCAGCCATCCAGAGAAGGGCTGGGCACTGCAGCCACAGCACCTTCTCTTCCTCCTCCTCCATCCTGGGTTCCTTGGCCAGTCAGGGGAAAGGGGCAGGATCCAGCACAGCCCTCCCCTGCCAGTGCACAGAGCAGGGCACAGTGACACCAACTCCTTGTTTCAGCTGGGGCAGGGGAATGAGCAGAGCTGCAGGAAGGGTATTTTGGGGGAGGGCTGTGTTTAAATTTGACACAAGCACAAGGTGCCCAGTAGGACATCACCTTCCATCACACAGGCACTCTTCCCAAGGCAGGGAATAGGAAACAGCAAAATGAGACCAGGACATGAGCAAGTACTGCTGCACTTTGCAAATGTGTCCAGAGCAGGAAACTCCCTAACAGAAATCACAGAATCATGATACAACAGTGTGTGCTTCTGGGCCTCCAGTCCCCCTCTTTTAACACCTTCTCTGGTGCTGCAGTGGGGGTGATTGCAAGCCCTCCCAAAAAGAAAAGAATAAACATCCCATGAACTMAGACACCCTGCTGTTCAGTTTTCAGTGTGTGACTCTACGAGCTGATCCTCCACATGGTTTCAGTCAGCAGGCTCGAAGGCTGAAGCATAAAAGGTCCAAAACACTCTCTGGCCAAATGCACCACAGCGTTGTGGCTCTGAACCACCTGAGGGGCTGCTTTAATATGGCCCCGTGAGCTGATGTGGAAGGAGAAATTCATCACCAAAYATTCGGGAGTTGCTTCCTCCATGGCACTGAGTGCTGGTTTCGTGAGGCACTGACAGATTTAACCTTTTGCTTCTGAAATAATCATTAGTATAATATACAAACACAGTGTAGGGGAAGAGGAAGTTGAAAAATAATGTTTAAAAATACTTGCCTTTAAAAATTCAGCCCTTCCTTTGTTACCAAAATCTATTTAAAGGGATGGAGCAGTTGCTGGTTCTAAGAAGCCTTTGGTCCCAAAGCATTAGGAGTCAGTATGTTTTCCTGGCCAAGTTCTCAAGCTCTTTCATTGTCTTTTAGTTCTGCTTCTCTCCTTTGTGTTTCCAAGGGTAGATGAGCTCTCCAAGGAACAGTTTCTTGCAGAGAGATGCCCAGGAGTCCTTGGGGTAGCAGCTGTAGGTGGGCAGTCTGTACGTCTGGACCACACCTCCGTAGGACAGGGGGTTGATCTGTGGTAGAGAAAGAGGAATAGCAGCAAGGGAAACATCAGTCCTGCTCATCACACAGCATCAGAATCCCTGCCTGGCTTGCTAAGGCTGTTTATCCTTCTCCAACATTCCCCAATATTAACAAATAGAGCCTGGCAAGGGGTRTTACTAGAATCATTCCCAAGCAGGGACACAAACACCAGCACGACCGACAGTGCTGTGTGTTACACACCAGGGTGGAGGGGACAGTTGTTGGAGAGACAGCCAGCAGACAGCAACAGAATCACAGAGTCATGGAACTTTTCAGTTTGGAAAAGCCCTCTAAGATTATTGAGTTCAACCCTTAACCCAGCACTGCCAAGGCCAGCACTAACCCATGTCCCCAAATGCCACATCCACACAGCTTTTGAACACTTCCTGGGCTGGACAGTTGTGCCAGTGTCTGACMACCCTTCCAGTGAAGAAATAATAAGTTCCTCATATCTAATGTAAACTTGCATCTAATACTGCACTGGGGATGCACTGGGACTCCAGGAATTCTGGCAGAACAGAGCAGTTCAGCTGTACCTGCTATGAGCCCTCAGCTGGCAGCTGTGCATTAAATTAAAYCCAGTATCACTTGAAACCAGTGGAACCAAGTCCTGGCAGGACAGGATCACACCACAGGGCTGCTCATTACCATTTTTAATTAAATCTCCTTGGCTGAATTAATCTTTTTTAATTTGACTTCAATCACCACCCCAAGTCTGTGCCAGCAAAAGCTCTAATTATGGTCCCCAGTTGCTGCATTGAACTTTTGAAGATGGGGAGGTGAACTGACCCATTAAGTGGACAAGAGGTGACAGATGTTAAACCTTGAAAATGCTCATCCCAGTGAAGCATACAGGGTAGGGAGACAGCTGGAGTCCACAGGACGGACCCAAAGTGGCCAAGATTGAGGCATGAAAAGGATGCATAGCACAATCTCGAAAACAGCAGAAAGATTGCACAGAAATGCTGGGGCTCAGAGCACAGACCACGAGAGATACCAAGGGGCAGGAAAAGCTTGACCAGTGGAGAGAAATGGAAGGACATCCTTCTCTGGTGAAAGGGTTCATCTCTGCTGGAACCAACCAAGCAGCTCTGGGAGAGGAGACTGTAATTCACAGCACAAAATCCAGCCACAAAAGGAAAGAGAAGCCACTGCTTGGTCAAAGGTGAACATTTCTTTCATCCACTAAAAACCACCTGCTTTACCGAGTTTGACTGTACCACCAGCTTGCTTCAGCTGCCTTGTGCTCATGGAATGGTGAGGGATGAACCCCCAGTGCCTGCAGAGATAGAACTCTTGGAAAGGGTGGTTGAGCTAAGAATTCATTAGAATTAACYCTGGACACCTTTGTCAAATTAGTTTCAAAGAAAAACATTGCTGAAAGCAGAAGGGGGAAATGCCTGCACACAGAGGAATCTATAGGAGTTTAGGAAAAAAGCCAGGGCAGCTGCTTTCAGGGGAAAGTAAGAAAATAATAAATGGGAGAACAAAAGGCCAAAGAAATCCATCCCCASAATTAACAGCCATACAACCTGAATCACTATATCTGCCCATTTCCTCAGCTGTAGGCAGAGGGTTTTAAGTGCAAGTATGCTGGGGAGGAGGTCAGGAACTGCTGCTCTAGGAGGGGGAGACAGTGTGTGTTCTTTTGACTGTGAGCTGTGTGGGCTGGAAGCCCTGGACACAACGTTTCTGCCTGAGAAGCATCCCTGGGCAGAGCGGTGGTACCCAGGGCTAACACTGGCCACTGCAATAACTAGAGATGTTTGCACCCACAGCAAGGTCCCTGCCTCTCCYGGTACAAATGGAAGCAAACAGGCAAAACTCATTTATCAGAAGGGGTAATTTGAGTTCTCCTAATGAAAATTCTGTAGGTCAAAGCTATAACAAACCCTGCTAGAATATCCATCCTACTGGAGCTGTTCCCTTTTTCCTTGCTCTGCTGCTTAACCCTTTCCAAAGCAATTGCTGGGAAAGATGACACTTKCAACAGAATGGATGGCTCAAACTCATCCTGTCCTAGAATCCCAGAATCTCAGACTGTYTGGATTGGAAGGAACCTTAAAAGTTATCCCATCCCACCCCCTCCCATGGCAGGGACACCTTCTACTGTCCCAGGTTGCTCCAAGCCCCAATATCCAGCCTGGCCTTGCACACTTCCAGGGATTCAGGGGCAGCCAGAGCTTCTCTGGGCACCCTGTGCCAGGGCCTCCCCCACCCTCTCAGGGAAGATTTTTTTTTCCTAATATTACTTCAAACTTGCCCTCCTTCATCTTAAAGCCAGTTTTATCCCTGGGCTATCAGTTCAGTTGAGCCACCCTGGAAGAAATATTTCTTCTTGTGCACCAAAAGAAATGATTTTAAACACTAATGAAAACACTGACCTATGTAAGACTTCCTGAAGAATATTAAGTAGCATTTGSAATGGAAGTATCATCCCCCATCCTCTGCCTCCCTCCAATGCCTGGACTTTGCATTCCAGAGACACTATCTTAAAAAATCAAAAATAATCCCTTGGCTGAACCAGGAGCCRGTTGGGAATGCTCAAACCCAGCATTATTGATTTCTAATCCATTATCAGAGCCCCAAAGGACAGCCCTGACTGTATCAGTCACATACAGCTCCAATTATTTTGGGCATAACTCCATGCATCCAGCCTTATTTCCATCAGGCACAGCTCCAAGAGGGGGCAAGGGCACTGCGGAATCTGGGAAAGGCACATCACCATGTACAATAAATAAGAATTTCAGCATGCCATTTAAAAATAGGCTTTTTACACTGGCYTCCCCACAGGCCTATGAGAAAGTGGGATATTCAGCAGGATTTCTGACACAAGCCCATTTTTCACGTCCATCAGCATAAAGAGAGCAAAAAAGTGCCTTTTTTGACTGTCTGCTCATTATTATTTGAACAGAAGGCTGGGACAGACATCCACTGCAGCTCTTCCACCTCTCGAGGTGATGACTTGTGCTATATTCTAGATAGCAAATGGATCTTCCTGCAGTAGTCCAAGGAAAATTCATCACAGTCATATGACTCACTGCCTCTGCTCTTTAAGTCGTGATCTTTTTCCTCTGGAATCTCCATCCACCTCATCTCTCACACACACCGATGCCAAAGCCTCTGCTCAGCAGCTCCCRTGCCTCATCTCTGGTGTCTGGTTTCCTCCTCCTGGAGTCTCCTGGCTATGGAGGATGGCAGATTTTGGTTCTTACACCCCTATCCTACTGAAAGGCACAARCTGGGAAGACAGCATGCTTAGGAAATGTTAGTTTTGCCCTAGAAGACATCTGTTGCAGGGATTCCCTTTGGAATTGCTACAAGCTGGTTTGCTGATTCCCTGCTAGTCTGACCTTTGYTGAAACAGGGTGGGAGCAGTGATGGAAAAAGCAAAAGGACTGGAAGCTGCAGTTAAATCCTTCCCACATACTCCCCCAATGTCCAAGTGCTTTTAGAACTGCTATACACTACTGGCAGCCTCTCCTCTTAGGATGCAGAAAGCAAGAAAAACCACCCTGGGATGTGGCTGTACTTCTGCTGGGTCAGAAGATGGAAATTTCACTGCTGAAAGTGCCAGGAGAGCCTCCCTACTGCCAACACCTCATTTTTTTTTCAGAAGGTAATTTCCTTTAGTATCTCTGATGCCAGAGCATGGGAATGGGGGGTTACAAAAGCACAGGTAAGCTTTGCCCATAGCCCTCGCCAGGGCAACCCAGGGGAAAAGCAGGAGGCCCTTTCCTCTCTTATCTTGCCCAGGCTCCTGTYCTGCTGGCATCATGGAGCAGCCAAGGCTTTCCACCACCTCTGGAGTGAAGAGCTTTTCCTGGTGCTTCATTCTGGATGGTTTAACTGCCTTCCTTTGCTTCTCCCAGTGKTCAGCAATGATCACATGAGGCTGCACAGGGCCAGGAGCTGATAATGGCATGAGGTCTTAATCCCAGAAGTAACACARCTCTGTGTTTCTCCTACCCCTCCTTCTTCTCCTGCAATTCACTTCACACCATCCAGGGCACTGCATTTTCTCCTAAAAGAGGACTCAAGCAGGGCATAAAAAAACCACAGAAAGCAGCAGCCAGCCATAGCAACATGGAATTATTTCCCTTGTTTCAGCATTTCACAGGTGATGATTTTGAAGTGGAGCCTTTCAGTGGGAGCAGCACAGATGGACTGGGGTGACTCTGGGGTGACAGGAACTGTCACAGAGGGCACAGTAGCCTCCTTACCTGCATAAGGAGCCGCAGAGGTTTTCCGTCCTGCTGCTCGAGGACTCTGAACTTCACTCCAGCTGCAAAGACACAAAACAAGGAAACCAAACCCATGGTGGGGTTGTTGGGGTGTCCTATGCAGGGTCAGGAGTTGGACTTGATAATCCCTGTGGGTCTTTCCCACTCAGGACATTCCATGGTTCAGTGCTTGGAGCACAGACCATGCATTTGCTTCTGAGTGCTGTTGGCTGAGCACTGATTCTCTAGAAATTGTCTTCAACTTTTCTGGATTTGGGAACCTTCTCCATTTCCAACAGGAAGCATGGATTATATCTACAATGCTTTAAGCCTAATGACAAACACAGCTCCATTAAAACTAGCCCCTCTCACCTCCAGCTTGAAAACTCAGTCCTAGAGCAATCACAAAGCCTAGAAATCAGCCAGCCAGACCTGCTAATGACAAAGGGACTAGAAAAACCTTCCTCTTTCCCCAAACTTCCATCAGAATGGGAACTCCATGTTAGCAGCAGGCAGAGAGGTCACCCTTAATTTGTGCTCATGTGGAGAGAGTACATGTGCAAATCTCTCCCTCTTTCAGACTGAGGGAGGGAAGTGGCTGACCTGGAGGCATTAGAACATTTCAGAACAATCCCTGTCCATTAATCCCAGCATCCATATGTTTTTAACAGGCTACTAACCCCATCAAACCTGCCTCTTCTCTATTTCCTCTTGGATTTGCCTCATTGCCAGTACTGTAAAGATAAATAGGAAAGATTTTGGATTCTAAGGGTGACACGGTGCACACAAAGATTTGATACAATGTTTCAAAGGTAACAGCTTGGAYAGAGAGACATTTTTCTTTCAAATATTTCAAATTACTTCACAGAAAGAAAACCACCAATCCATCTCTGCAAATCTGTCCCAGCCAACCGTGCCCCTGTTATTCCTTGCTGCAGGTAAGAAGAGGAACAAAGACTAAGGCACAGATCAAACAGTGACAGGAGCACAAACAGAAATAAAACCCTTCACCTGTGTAAGCTCCATCGCCGCAGTRTCTCTGTGACTCCTGCACACTGAAAAACCAAACTGTTTTCTCTTTTTCCTCAAGCTTTGAACTAATTAAAATTATATAGTTCACTCCTGGGACAGAATGCTTTTTTTCTAGCACACAGCTCTGGTTTAAACTGTCTCCCTAAATAATAAAGTTTTTTCTGYCCAGGACAGGAGGGATTTATCTGCATTTTCTTGGATTATATTGAAAGAAGAGCTTCCCCAGTGGCTTGAAATAGATGTTTGAGTACCCTGGGCCTCAACAAGCAAATGTGCTGGATGAGCAAAGTGCTCAACGTGATTCACAGAACTTTGGTTACGAGGAAGTGTCTAAGCCATTCCAGGAGCTACTTTTCTGGCAGACCTTGTCAGAGAGAGAYAGACACAAGCAGGCACTGGAGGCTCAGATATGTGGTTGAGCACCTAGAGTCTTATCCCAGAGCAGCCCATTATCCCAGTAAATGCTGGTGCTGTAGGTCCCAGCCACGCATCTCCCTTCCATGGCTGCAATCCAACCATCACTTAATTAGATTATTTAGTTGCTCAAGAGTGTTAMACTTCTAAGAAAATAAAAGCACACAAAGGCTATAAATTCATTTTAGAATGACCTGCAGATTCCTGCAGTGGTCAGGACTCTGAGCAGCTCCCTGCTGAAGGAAGAGCAGGAAGACTCAGGCTGCTGCAGATCACTCCAGCCCAGAAGAACTCTGAACTATTCCATGTTTCCAGCCAACTTCAGAGCTCAGAGTTCTCCTTTTCCTGTACAAAGGMATCATCAGTGGCACAGGAGAGGTCAGGACATGAACTCATATGCTTGGTTTCACATCACAGCAAACTCAAGCGAGGGCACTGCTGGTCTGTATTCCAGAAATCACAGCAGGTCCTACAGAATCCTGACAAAATCTGTCCCAACACTTCTGCTGGGAATGCTKGGAAAGGGAAGCCCTGGAAAAATGAGCTGGCCTGTTCACAATTTAACAGCATGTTGGTAACCTGGGTGTGGGCAGGGTCTGAGGGCCCTGAAGCCCCTACTGTGACTTTACTTCATGCTRTGAATCCACATCCTAACCAGGGTGGGAGTCCTTGAGCTGATACTGGGTGCACAGAACTCTTGCACAAGAGGACATCAGATGTGATCTAGCTTTTTAAAGTAGAAATATTTCACTTTGGATGTATGGAAAGAAAAAAATGCATTTTGTTTCTGGTGTGTGGCTGGATCATTMCCCCACCCCTGACCCAGGCTTCATCAGTGGAGTATTTTGTCAATTCAGACACTGAGTCACAGAACTTGGGAGCCAGATGCCACAACTGAACTGAGCTGAACTCAGTCCCCTTCCTACCAGAAGAAACTATCCATTCATGTTGGTAGCAGCATCTTGATGGTCCATGTGAAATCAGCTCACCTAACACCTGCCAGAAGATGTCTTATCCAAGTGCTGGGTCTGACAAGGGAGGCAGCACCTCAGCAATGAGGACACCAAGTGATGGGTACTCTCTGCASTCCTTTGAATTGGATTCAACTGCTCCATCTGTGCCTGTTGCCATCCATGTTTTTGTGCTGGGGCAGGAACACAGAAATCTCAGAGATGCCTCCTCATCTCACAGGCACCAGGGCACTGCAGTGCCACTTAAGGAGCTCAGCTGAGAAGAGAATCCTCTGCCTGGGTTGGGGCTTGCTACCTGCAGCAGGGACCTGGCTGAACCRGAATGATGACAAGTGACCTGCAGCCTTACATAACCTACAGGAATTCATGGTCTTACACCTCTCAGTGGCACCAAGATTTCTTCCTGCCCTACATCCTGCTCATTACTGGGTCAGTGTTCTTCAGCAGCATCTCCTGYTCCCCAAAGACAGCCCTGAAGTGTTGAGAAGTGGCTGCCACAACATTCATAGGAAACTGCTGAAGGCTCACATGGARAAGCAACAGAGTTGRTAACACAGCTCAGCTCTRCCTTCCCAAAACTGAGCCTGGCAGTGCTCAAGCAGACAAAGCTGCTGAGGTTGCCTCAAGCTTCCTCCACCTTTTATGACTGGTCTTGGTTTAGTGATGATCAAGCTCTTTCTTCTATGCTAAATTCCTGCTGCATGCTCTTTAAATGGAAGTGAGATAAAAATTTAGATGTGCTTGACTGTAACTAGATCAACAATAGCTGTTGACAGTCAAAGGCATTCCAAAATGAGCCCTTGCTCTGGTGCCAGCCATGGCTTATTGTTACCCAAAGTGGAAAAACAATGACTGGCTTCAAAATGGTCACAGATTAGTCTCAAAAAGAGAAGGATTATCTGAACTCTGCCCAGAGCTTTGAAATTAATCTAAACACCTCAGGTCAGGGCTTCAGTCAGTCAAAGTCAGCAAGGAACTGAAACAGCTCCATTGAATTGCAACCACTGTAGATCCAGCCCTTTGGAACAGCTGCTATTCCAAGTATTTTTCTTATTTGGCTTGTTTCAGAGCCCAAACACCAAAAGTTATCAGCTTGTTTCACAGAATCATGGAATATCCTGAGTTGGAAGCAAACCACAAGAATCATGGAGTCCAACTCTCAGCACTKCACAGACCCCCCAACAATCCCACCCTGYGCATCCCTGGCAGCGCTGTCCAAACGCTCCTGGAGCTGTGGCAGCCTCGGGGCCGGGACCATTCCCTGGGGAGCCTGGGCAGTGCCAGCACCCTCTGGGGACAGAAGAACCTTTCCCTGATCTCCAGCCTGACCACCCCCCCCAGCACAGCTCCAGCCATGTTTGACTCGCAGAAGTTTGACCTGACCTGGCAGTCTAGAACTGGAATAAAAGAAGAGTTTCTCTATATAGTGTTTGTTTGGATGTCACTTTTAGCAGCCAAGGGCTTTGTAAAGGTGCTCCCGATTCTGCCTCAGGATCAGATTTCTTTCCATCCTCATCCTGCTCCTTGCAGGAATTGTTTCACAGTAGGGACATCTGCAGGACTCGAGCCTTAGGTTCTTTCCTACCCTGCCYTGCATCTTCAATTCAGGAGTGACCCGGTGCATCAAAATCAAACACATAATGAAAAATACTTGAAGTGCTGCAGGGGCAGAGCAAAGGGACTCACCTGCAAGCCTGTAGGATCTGCAGAGCCGAAGGATGAGGGAATAAAGAGGCAGGGAGTCAATCAGGTCCACCAGCAAGTGTATGAGGCCCTGTACAATCACCACCAGCAACCGGAGCTACAAAAAAGTTTAACAGAAAACCTCAAAAAACAGGAGATGAAATACCTGTAAATTCCTGAGCTGAGCTGACACTGCTGTGTGCTAAGCTAAAGCCTCACAAGGTGGATGTGATGTCTAGAAGTGCTGAGCACCCAGACCCTGCGAGAGGATCCTCAGTAATCTGATTGTAAGGGGGTAACTGGAATGATGCTCCCACAGCTGGAYATGCTGTGACCAGCAAGGACATGGGAACTATTCCACTTTCAACAGCCACAGCTGGAAGGAAGCCCTAATTCTCCCATTTTGAGTCAACTCCATTGCCCTGTACCAGTGAATGTAAATTTTCCTCTCTCCAGCAGTGAGCTGCAGCAGCTCCTTTCTGCCTGAAGAAACCCCACGTGGCGTCTAAGCAAGAGCAGAGCAGGCAGGAATGAGCTTCCTGCTCAGTGTTTTCTGTCCCTGACTAAAGCACCTCCTTTTATCACAATGCAGTTATTTTCTGCTGCCAAGCTCATCTGAAAAGAGAGGGCTCAAAAAAGATGCCAAAAGCATGTGATGGCCACAGTCTGTGGAAAATCTGKCTCCAGACAGACCTCAGAGAGAACTGGTCATATTGGGGGAAGAAAAGAAAAATAAAGAAGTTCCAGCCTCTAAGGAAAGCTTGGCTGAAAACATTTAACACAGAAAGTTAATTCTCTGAAAAAGAGTTCTGGATCAGACTAGAGAGGTCATCACCTCAGATGTGGATGGAAATATAAAATAACTTCTGAGAGAAAGAGAGGGGAACAGTTTGTCCTGCTGGCCAGAATTTGCTGGGAATTCCCCTTGAAAAAACACAAACATGAACTGCRTGAGGATCCTTCCTAAGACACCCACATTTTTATTTTCTTTATGGATGACCATAAATGTCTAGGAAACCATTTTTTACTATCTCAGAAGAGAGTATTTTACTTGTTTCAGGGGTTAAATCTTACCAGGGTAAACACCAAATAATACAGTGCAGTTGTAGGCAGGAGGAACAGCAGGATTGTGAACAGCAAAGTGCCAATAAATAACTAGGGAAAAAAGAAACACAATAATGAGCAGAGCAGTGGCAAAATAAAATACATTACAAATAAAAAAATAGGAGACTCTGAGGCAATGAAAGTTTGCAGGACTCCTTAAAGGTTTTTTTTGCTGCCTATGTGAATAATGCCGTTACCTTGGATATTTTCAGTATTTCTCTCTCTGGGCCTTCTTCAAAGCTCCCTATTATGGGAGTACATTTTGAAAGATAAATGAAAGCTGGATCCTGACAGCACTTTTTCCTTTATAGACAACACTCAAGGTTTCCTATTTCAGCCCAACTTCCTTAGGAAACAAGAGTTACATGATCTTACCATTTTCCACTCTCTACCCCAAAAAAGTTCTAGAGACTTTGATCAGATTTTACCAGAAAATGTGAAAAAGAACAAAGAAGTGGTTTTTTGAATGGGAATTCTGTAGAGAATTGAGAAGTATTTTGTTCCTCCTTGTTTTAGCAGTTGYAGGCACCTGGTGCAAACCTGAGAGAATTTGGGTGATAAACATTCCCCAAGGCAGCCGCCACAGGAGTTCTGCCTCCTGCTCAGTGGGAAGCTGGGAGAGAGGAAAAAGCTGGAGTCACTGGGGTGGGGGAGCAATATTCAGAGGATGAAGGAGAAAAATCCCTAAGGAAGCAGGTGTCATTAGCTCACAGCCCACAGAAAAAGTTATTTTTATTCTGGGCCAGCCCAGTTGGTGGAGGTCTAAGTAACTCCAAGTGGGAGAACTGCAGATTTATGACAACCAGGAACCTGACTCTTCAGTTCCCAGTCACCACTTCCAGAGCAGAGAGGCCACAGGAGCACGGGGCACTGTCACCTCTGCAAAAAGGGACCGCAGCTGTGGGATAGTATGGAAGAGAACAACCCAGCAGCCAGGGCTGGAAGTGGATCAGTATCCCAGCTTTAGGCACACAACCAGGAGCAAATCATTACCCAATCCATTCTCCTCACAACAGTTGTTTCTCCCCTCTCCTGTCACTCCACTGCAGTTGTTTAAACCTCCAAAAGTCTTTTAAGGTCTGCTTTGAATGTCTGTTCCTMCCCGGCCAACGACACAATTCCCACTGGTCGCCAGAGCAGCAGGATGAAGCCTGAAGTGCCAAACCAATTCTCCTCAAAGTACACAGTGAGTGAGCACTGATGCAAACCTGGCACGGAGGCTTTTAATCACCAAAGAAACAGAAACCCAGCTCTCAGCTGTGGTGCAAGAAGCTCAAGGTTRTCTGTTGTAATGGAGAGAGGCACCGACCCTGCAAATTTCCAAATATTATTGTATAATTTGCAGCTGCTGGCSTGGAGCAGTTCAGGCTCTGCTGGACTTTTGCACAGCATTTCAGAAATTAAAAAGAGCTTACAGCGCTCCACAAAAAAACTGCCTCTGCCTGAGTGCAAGTGTGTGGGCCAAGCTCCAGCACAACGTGAATGAAACAGGGCCTCTTAATAGAAACGCTGCCACGGCTGTTACTGTGGCAACACTGCTGGGCACCACATTTCCAACTGCCTCCATCCCTCCCCCTTCCCACTCCAGCCTCGGGAGCTGCCGGCATCTGCAGCACCCACTGCAGCTCACCGGGTGCCTGCCAGGTACCCAGGGCAATTGTGCCCTTGCCAGAGACCTCTGAGCAAGGGAAACGGGGCTGGAGGGCAGGGCAGGGGTACAGGGAAGGGAAAGGGGTGAGGGGAAGGGAAGGGAAGGGAAGGGAAGGGAAGGGAAGGGAAGGGAAGGGAA